TGGGGGGGAGAGGGTGAAGTGGACAAGCAATGCTGAAACTGCAAGAGGCTCTCCAAATCTCACCCCTCCCTGTCGCCCGGAAGAGGGAATGAATGAGTGAGTGAATGTGTGTGTCTGCATGTGTGTCCCTGTGCGCAAGCCTGTGTGCTCACCTGTGGGCGTTCACAAGTGTGGGTGCCTTTGTTGGGTGCTGAGGTTGACGGTGTGTGGACAGGGGAGGAAATGGTATATTGTGAAGGACTCGGGACTGGAGTCTTGCCCGCCGTGTCGCTGGCCTGCTGCTGGCCTTGGGGGAGCTGGCGCCTCTCTCTGGTCTTCAGCTCCTTCTGGCTGTGGAGGGTTCTGCCAGTTCTGACTCTCTAGTCTCTTTGTGTGATCTGAGGGTGTGTTCCTCTCAGGTTTGAGTGAACTGGGCGTGTGTGTGTGTGCTGAGTGTGCTTGTGTGCATGTTCATGCCTAGCGTGTTGTGTGTGTGTGTGTGTAAGGGCACTTTTCATAGCAGAGAGGATATCCGTGCGCCTGTGTTTGTGTGGAGTCTAGTGTGAGTGTGTGATGGTATGTTTGGGAAATATTCTGTGGGTGTGTTTTGCTTAGTGGAAAGATTGAGGTGAGGACAGGAGGCCTTCGATCCTTGCTTGAACTTGCACCCCTCTCCCCTTCCTACTCCTCTGCTTTAATCTCCGTAACATCGATCACCACTGACCACACTATATATTCACTTAGAGTAGACCCCCTTATCCAGGGGGGATACATTCCAAGATCCCCAGGATGCCTGAAACTGAGGATAGGACTGAAGCCCCCCCCCCCATGCTTTTTCCTACACATACATACACATTCTGGCTTCTCTTTGGCATATCTGAATTGCCAGCATCACTACTCATGCACTTTGGGGCCATTGTTAAGTAAAATAAGGGTGACTTGAACACAGGCACTGCCATATGACGACAGTCTATCTGACTGTCCAGCTGCTGGCAGGGAGTGTTTACAGCGTGGATGTGATGGACAAAGGGGTGATTAAAAAAAGTGTGCAATTTAAAACTTACAAGTTGTTTATTTCTGGAATTTTCCATTTAATATTTTCGGACCATGGTTGACCACGGATAACTGAAACTGTGGAAAGCGAAACCTCAGATAAGGGTTTTTATTTTGTTTATGGTTTCTCTTTCCCTGCCAGAACGTGAGGTCTATGAGGCAGGAATTTTAGCTGTGTTGTACATGTCTGTATCCCCCCTATTAGGACAATCTCCGGCACACAGTGGCATGGTGGATGTTCAATAAAGATTTATTGAATGAATGAATGAATGAATAACTTTATCACCTCTTCAAGAGTTCCCTTCAGTGTCAACCCCCCCCCACCCCAAATGTGGTTAATCATAAAAATACCATGTGTGGACCAGTAGGAGCTGATATCACCAAAATGCAGAAAAAGCACAGAAAGCAAGGTGAAGAGGAAAGTTACTTTAAAGGAAAGGAGTTGCCTATCTTTCCAGGAACAGTTCTGATGGAGTTCTGAGGATGAAAGAAGAGATTTTAGGGCGCCAGGAAGGGAGGTGGAGCAGACAGAGCAAAGACAGAAAGCTTAGACAGTACTTGGGGAAGGAAGGAAACATGGTGTTAGCTGGAAGAGGCAGTAGGATCCGGTGATCATCCACTGACTTGGTGACATCGCTCGGCCTTCCTGCCAGGAGTGTTCCACGTTCACTGCATTTGGTAGCTTCTGCAGGTCTTTGGGAGCATCTAACAACGTGGGAATTAGTGTTAGTGGGAAAATATCTCGAACTGGGCTTTCCCATACAGGAGTGGAACAGAATATATTTATTGAGCACCTACTGTGTGCTGGATACTTCAATACATTGTCTTAATCTTCTCATGCGTGTGCACTAGATGTGACAGTCTCCATTTTGCAGACGAGCAGCTGAATCTCCAGGAAGATAAATAACTTGCCCAAGACCAGTGGGGCTGAGATTTAGGCCTGGATCTATTCGATCCTTTCTGCCATATCACACTGCCTCCTAAGACAGGACAGGTCCCTCATGCCTCTTGAGGACATGAGAATGGCTGTGAGGGCACAGAGGGGCCTCCCATCTGGCTGAACAACAGCCATGGAACGTTCATGCAAGTGGAACCAGGTCAGCCTGTGAAGGTCTTTAGCAGCTGCTGGGGGGCTCTGCCTTCTACCCTGTTCTGACCAATATATGCCAAAGATCCAGAGAAGACATAAGGGGTGCAGCCCTATAATAGTAGGAGGGGGTAAAACAGAGAAAAAGGACCCAGAAAAGGTCAGATAGCAGAATCAGGACCCAGAAAGATCTAAATGGGCTCGGGTTCAAGATGGCACAATGAAATGTCACAGGTACAAATGCTGGGGCCCATCTTAACTACAGGAAAAACTGTAGAGAGGAGCAGCAGCTTAAGAGAAAGAGATTTAGTAGTCATGGGCCATTAAGTTCAGTATGAGTCAGTGGGCTACATTAATAAAGGTATGACGTTTGGGACAAGGGAGGGGACCACCATCCTGACCTGGCCTGCTCTCTGCCCTGGGGCAGTCACTATTGTTCATATTTGAAGGTCATGTGTGCTTTTCTGGTTTTTTTTTTTTCTTTTTTTTTTCTCAGTTCTTCCTCTGCTTTTTTTTTGGGGGGGGGGCGGTTCTTAGAGGAGCAGAGCGCTTCTGGAGTTTGACCCTTGGATCCCACCCAGAGCAGCCCCCTGAAATGACACCTTTGAAGGAGAGAACGAGGCTGCAGATTTTCTGAACTTTTGTTTGAGCAGCAAGTCCCGGATCTGATCGTTATGTCACACTGCCCTCATTGGGGGAGAGGAAGCGCCGGCCCCTGAATGTTCCGAAACCGTGAGAGGTGCTGGTCCCCTTGGCCACCGGCCAGGTGTGCCCGCCGCCTCTCCCGCTGTCTCCTTCCCGTCTCAGAGCCCTTACCTGCTGGTCAGTGGTCTGCCAGGCCCGGCGGGGCCGCCTCCCCCAGGCAGGCGGCGGGCAGGGACAGAGAGCCTGGCAGTTGCTCACAGCGGGGCTGGATGCCGCCTGAGCTGGGTGTCACCTGCCAAGCTGAATCCGGCACAGGAAGCGCCTGGCTCAAAGGCGTACTGTTTAATTTGGAGGTTCTGTTCCACTCTGAAATGCACTTCTCCTGGCAGCTGCGGTGAAGTGAAGCTGCTGAGCTTCCCTCTCATGCCAGAATCACAGCCACTTTTTCCTGAGAAAGAAACAGGGCTGCAGACAGTTTTACTCATTAAAGACTTCTTTTCCTCTTAAATCTGTTTTTGTAAATTTTTTTTTTTTTTTTTTGCAGGAACGGAAAAGTAAAACGGATGATATTGAAATAAACAAGGCATTTGTGATAGGAAGGTTAAAGCAGATTGTTGGGGGTGGGGACGGGGGTTGGCGCCGCCCCAGTTTCTGCGCACAGGCTGCTCATAGCCTGGCGAGGGCGGGAGCAGGAGAGATGTTCATGACTCTGCTCACCTCCCAGCCCTCAGGGGCTGCCTCCTCCAAGGGTCGTGGGGCTTCACTTGGGAAGGGAACTGTCATTCATCAAGAGCCTACTAAGTGCTGGGCCTGTACTATGGGCGAGCTCATTCTTTTAGATAAAGAAAGTTGAGGCCCAAATGGACCAAGGTGAGCCAGTCAGGGACACAGAGCTGGGATTTGAGCCTCCGTCTATCTGACCCTCTTTTTGCTCTACTTTGTCACCCGAGCAGTTGTGTATGGAGCTGGGGATGTGAAAGAAGGTGCAGAGACACCAGCCAGCTCTGAGGAGTGGACATCCTACCCGGCTCGAGATAATACAAGACAATGACCGCTGTGAGTGAACTAAGCCCCGGTTGCTGGGTTCTGATAAATATGGGTGACTTGGGGAAGGGTGTGGGCTGTGGGTGGGTTTGGTTTGATAACCAGGGTGGGCTTCCCGGAGGTGCAGGGCCCTGGAAGTTGAATGGAGGAGATGGAATGGCCTTGCTGCAGAGTGAGCAAAGGCAGGAAAGGTGAGAGCCTGGCTTGGGTGTGAGGAGGTAAGTTGGGGTGGGGCAGTGATGGTTTGAACATAAGTGTTGAAGTGGATGGGGGGTGATCAGGTTGGAGAGTGTGTTGCAGAGAAAGAGCCCTGAGCTGGGAGGCAGGTGTCTGGGTCTGGTCCTGGCTCTGCCACAGGCTTGCCGTATGATCTTGGTCAAGTCCCTTTCCCTCTCAGGGTCTTAGATTGTCTGTAAAATGATGGAGTTTAACCAGAGGATCCTTAATGATCCTTACAAGGTCCCATGAAGAGAGAAGGTGACTGTAGAATCCAGAAGGCCTTCTTATCAGTAGAGTCATGAAACGTTAGTGCTAAAAGGAATCATCTACTGAGCCGTCTTACGTTATGTCTGAAAGGGTGAATATTTGTTTTGGAGGTGAAGGGAAGGGAGATGGAAAAGAGAAGAAAGGGCATTTCAGGCAGAGAGTGTAGCTTGAGCAAAGGCATGAATGGAGGCAGGACGTTTGCTTGGCGGGGTCGAAGAGTAAATAACAACGTGGGTGGAGGAAGAGCTAAGTGGTCAAACGGGTGAGGGAGATGGGCCAGACCTTGGACGAACAAGGGCTTTGATTCCATCCTCTGGGCCATGGGAAGCCATTGAAGGGATGGGACACACTCAGAGGGGCAGTTTTGAAAGATCACTTTGGCAGCTTCCTTGCTGATGGATTAGACGGGGGCTGGAGGTGGTCCAGGCCAGGAACGAGTGCGGTAAGACCAGTTAGGAAGCTCTGGTGTGAGCGCGGTGAGAGGTGGTGACGTCTGAGGCAGGGAGCAGAGTGGCTATGTTGAGGACAGCGTCTGTTCCAGAGAGACTAGGGTGTGGAATGGATAGGACTTGGTGATTGATTGGATGTGGAGGCTGACGGGGAGGGAGAGCCAAGGACTCCCGGGTTGCTGGCTTGGTGATACCCACTGAGGCAAGAAACACAGGAGGGGGGATAGGATTTTGGGGGAAAGATGATGAATTCTGTAATGGATTAGGTGAGTTGGAGGTATCAATGGAACATGCATGTGAAGGCTTTTTCTTGCATTTATTTATTCATTCATTATTTATTGAGCACCTACTGTGTGCCAGGCACAGCTGGATGCTGGCTTCCCAGAGCCGTCCGTCTAGGNGTCATTCATGATTTATTGAGCACCTACTGTGTGCCAGGCACAGCTGGATGCTGGCTTCCCAGAGCCGTCCGTCTAGGAAGTTTTCCTAAGCTGAACCTCGACCTACCCACTGGTTTTCTTCTGCCCTTCAGGACCTCTCCAGAGTCTACCGTCCTTCAGAGATTAGAAATCAGTGATCGTGGCTCCCACATCACCTCTGGTTCGGGGAACATGGAGCTGTGGAGAGAATGCAGACTTTAGAAAATTATAAAGAAATGGATTTCAGCCCGAGTGCTTTTCTGTGTGGTCTCATTTGTTAAGTGGGTTTAATAAAACCTCTCTTACAGGCAGTGGTGTGCTGGAGTTGGCTCCTACTGGCTTTTGTGCTTTGACATTCAATATTATATTAGTTTCAGGTGTACAGCATAGTGGTTAGACATTAATAGACCTTAGGAAGTGATTCCCTTTTAAGTCTAGTACCCAGCAGACGTAGCTATTACCGTCTTATTCGCTGTATTCCCCGTGCTCCACGCCTATGCCTATAGAGCTGATTGAGGGCATCTCTCTCCAACCCCGTATTCAGCGACATCCATTGGTAGCTTGCACCTGACCGTGGTGGGAATCTTGACACCACAGAAATTGGCAGACGCTGTAAATCAGGGCTTGCCTTTTCCTCCGGATCGCTGGTTGGCCGATGTTTGCGAGCATCCCACTGCTTGCGCAGGTGCGGTTAGCTGCGGGCCCACAGCCCCTGCCTGGGCACACGCAGCGGTGCGTGCTAGTCACTGCCTTCACCTTCGGCATTTCCCTCGTACAGGAAAAGCTTTTGTTCCATTTGTCCAGAGCAACAACTCCCCTTCAGCCAGGGGCTGTCCCCTCTCTCATCTCAGGCGACGTGGCTCCCGGGAAAGCTGTCATCTCTCCTTGGCCTCCACGGAGGGGTGGAGTCAAAAGCACAGGGATTTGGGAATCTTACGAATCTAGGTTTGAATCTTGGATCTGCCTCTTGCTGGCTATGTAATAACCCTGGGCAAGTTATTTAATCACTCTGAGCCTCAATTAAGTCACTGTAAACTGAGGATGGACATGCCTCTCTCATTAAGTTGTTGTGAAGATGAAATGAGGTAATGGGTGTGTGGGTGTGCAAGGACCTGGCACCGAGGCCACAGTTTCAGTGAAAGCTTGACCAATGCTGGCCTCCTCCCTGAAGAGTCCAGTGTGGACTTGGGAGGCAGCTCTGCCGGTGGGGGAGGCGGGGGAGGGGGAATCAGGGCTGCATCCTTGGGAGAGGTGCTTGCTGGTGGAACATGTAGGCCGGGAGAGGCTGTGGGCTGTAGGCCCCTCAAATGTATTCTGAGCACAGTGGAGGGGAACTCCCCAGGCCGCAGTTCACGCTTCCAGGGCCCTCACCTGCAGATCAGCAGATAGACTCCTATCGTCGGCTCGGCTTGTGGCTTTCTGGGGCGGCGGTGGCAGCCTGGGCTGAGCTGATTTACCACCCCAGCCCCAAGCAGATTAAATCACCCAGAGTCATTTGAATTTTACCCGGCCTTGTCACACAAATCTTAGAAACTGCTGTCTGGCAAGAAAACTTTGTACTTTTTGGAGGAAGTCTCAGAGCTCTAGAAATTGAGGTGAAGTGGGAAAAAAGAGGCAGTGCCAGGGGGTTTCTGCATCTTCAGGTCAGGCCTGAGTGGGGGAGTGGAGGAGGGATAAGGGGTGTGTGTGTGTGTGTGTGTGAGAGAGAGAGAGAGAGAGAGAGAGAGAGAGGCCACCTGTTGTAGAGGCCTCTGGGGCAATGTCATCATGTCTCTGGCTGTGTGACATGGGGCAAGTCACTTAACCTCTCTGAGTCTTAGATGATTGTTGTGAAGGTCAGAAGGGCTAGCTTGTATAAAGTGTTCTTGCAGGCTTTAATCAGCTCTGCACTCTAACTCCTCACACTTGTAATAAAACAGGTGACAAAGTAATATGGGCTACACTAGAATAGTGATCACAGGGGTGGAAAGGATGGGCAATAGACATTAGGCTGGTGAAACTCTATGTATATTCTTTTTGGAATCTAGACCAGGGTATCAATATTTCACAATAGACTTTCCCTAAAGTGCTGGATGTTACAATTAGATAAGAAGATGAAATAGAAAGCGTAAATATTGGGGGAGGAGAGAAAATAATCATAGTTTTCAGAGAAGACGATTGTTTATCTGGAAAACTCAATTTCCCCCCCAAAATTAAAAAGAATAAAGAGTTTTGTAAAATGCCGGTAGCAAAACAATGAACAAAACCAAATAGCTTTTTTATTTATAAAATGACTATCTAGGAGGTAAAACAAAAAGCCTCACCCACAGTGTCAAGAATAAAACAATAATACAAAATACCTGGAAATAAACTTTATAAGATGCATCTAGAATTTATATGAAGAAAACCAGAATTTTTTTCTGAGGGATATGAAAGACTGGAATGCATCTGACACACACCTAGTTCTTGGGTGGAGAGATGTAATAAGAATGAATATTTGGGTCGTTCTAAGGAGGGGAAGGTCCTTTTAAGCGTGATCTATCTAGAAACTATAGAAGACTGGAAATTTTGATACATAAAAGTTAAAGGATGTCGATTCTCCTTAAATGAATATACAAAATTAAGGCAATTCAATCAAGACCCCAACAGGATTCTTGTTTTTGGAATTTGACAAAATTATTATAAAATTCATCTGGAAGAATAAAAAATGAGAGCAATCAGAAAAATGCTGAAAAAAAATGATGAATATTTATGCTACCAGATATTAAAATGTTTTATAAAGGGACAATAGTTAAAATTCTATGTAAGAGTGACAGGTAATTGTGACAGAATGGAGTCCCAGAAATGGATCTAAGCATTTTAGGGGATTTTATATGTGATAAAATGATGTTTCCATTGATTTGGGAAAATATGGGCTATTTTATAAATGATGTTGGGATAACAGACCAGCCATTACAACACAAACTGGTTTTCTACCTTACTCTGATCAAGCCATGAAGACCACAGAGATATAAATAGAAATGAATATTTTGGTCATTTTAAGCTGGGGAGGGTCCTTTTAAGCATGATCTGATATCTAGAAACCATAAAAGACTGGAAATTTTGATATATAAAATTTAAACATTTAATACCTGAAAGACCATTAAAATGAAAGTAAAAAAAAGAGAGAAAACATATATGATAGACAAATGTTTAATATGACCTCCATGTACAAAGACCTCTTACAACGCATTCAGAAAAAGATAATTATCTCATTAGAAAAATGGGTAAAGGACATGAACAGGTTATTTGAAAAGAAAATCACTACAGATGACCAGAACACATGAAAAGATATTCATTTACTCTCACTAATCTAAGCAATGCCAATAAAAATGAGTGTCATTTGCCTTCTGTCGATTTGGCCAAATATTAAAACCCGGGGTTGGCGAGGGTGCGGGCAGACAGGTGCTGGAGCACTGTGGATGGGAAGCACATTGTTGGAAGTTTTCTGAAGGGCAGACTGACGAAATTAGAAAAAACACACCCTTAGTGATGCAGTTTATTTGAAGGAGTTAATTCTAAGGAGATAGTTACAAAAATGAGCAAGGAGACAAGCACATGGCTATTTATCACAACATTGTTTAGGAGAGTAAATCTTGACAACATTCTAAAGGATCAATAGAGACCCAGTTAAAGTATGATACATACAATGAAACACCATGAAGGAATTAAAATAATCTTGTAGAGCTCTATTTATTGACACAGAAAGATGTCTATGACATATTGTTGAGAGAGAAAAGTAGGTGTCAGTGAGAACAGTATGTGTAATACAATCCCTTGTCTATAAAATTATATACATAGATCTCTGTGTGTATATATGCATGGAGATATGTCTGGAAGGCTGTTCACCAGAATGCTGGGAGTGGCTCTATCTGGGAGGTAGGATTTTGGGTGATTTTTTTACTTTCTTTTTCTTACTTTTAAGTATTGGTTTGATTTAAAAAAAAAAAAAGGATATGTTTTTCAATTGGAACAAATAAAAAAAGCTCTTTTCGTTTTGGATATTTGATAAATATTAAATAGGACTTGATTTTTGTGCCTGGTGGAAAAGCTAGAGCCAGAGCTGCTTCTGGGGGAAGGAGAAGGCGCCGGGTTTTCAGGGGGTGGGCTTGTGGCTTATAAGGCTGGTCACAGAGGCAGGGCCCAGGGGCCTCTCTTCCAGGGGACAAAGCTGTGGATGAGACCTCGGAGGGAGGGAGGGAGGGAGCGCGTCAGCAGGCCCGGGAGAGGGCTGAGCGGGGCCCTGGAGCTCGGCCACATTTATGAGATGGGACAAGCAGCAGGATGAGTGGTCAGGAAGGCCAGGGACCACCGGCGGCATAGAAGAATTCCGTGGTGGCGGGGGCGAATTTCCAGAGAAAGGTCAACCGTATCTAATGCAGCAAAGGCGCTGAGACCAAGAGGGGGCACAGGACTTGACAAATAGGAGTTTGTTGGTGACTCCAGAGAGAGCAGTCTTGGTGGGAGAGTGTGTGCGGGGCGTGGGGGACAGTTTGTCCTGGGGGAAAGGAGGGTTGCAGCTTGGGGTAGCAGATTTGAGGGTGAGGGACTGAGCCTTGATCAGGGATGGCCATAGCTGGCACGTGAGCCACCCTGCCCACTCCCCAGCACGGGCAGGCGTCACTAATCCTTCTGTCAAGCCCAGAGGAAGCCTCCGAATCTTTCCCCGGACAGCCAGGCCGGGAGCCACCAGCAGTGTAATGGGCTTGGCCAGGGAGATGAACCTGTTGGCCATGCCCGGGCTTGAACGCATACTTGGAGGGTGATGAGAAGGAAGGCATGGAAGGGTGATTAAAGGTGCAGAAGCGAGGAGGCCTGTGGATCCAGGGCCCCCGGGGCCGGTGTGGACGATGGCCTCGGCCCGGGAAGACTTCTGGGCCCGGAGCCCAGGATGACTGGAGAGCCCCGTCTGTGAATCTGAGGTGACAAGATGCTAGAACAAATTTACGCTTCGGGCGATGCTGTGAAAAAAGCCCAACTGTGTGCGAATCGCTGGTTGGTGAGCAGAGATTTGGGGGCTCACTATGGCCCGCCATCTGGCTGCCCAGGGAAGGCGGAGCAGGAGCCCCATTGTCTGGGACACATGGCACGTCGGGGTCTGCCTGAGGGCTCCAATGCAGGCCCGAGAGCACACCGAGGAACTGAAGTTCCACTGTGGCCTGTTGGGAGGACTTTTAGGA